AACCCGAGATGGACAAATTAAAGTAGAATATATTAAATGGAATGCTGGAATATTATACATCAATATGAAGTGCATGATCACGTTAGCATGGGCTTATAAACAATTATGTAAATTTGTTAAAAATGCTATCAGTGACAATTGTTAATAGCATGTGTGATATTATATGGAGGTTGCTATCGAGACATTATTTCGGTTGTAGTTGGATGTGTTCAATGAAAAGGTAAAACCGAGCTAATTCGTTCACATTTGGTTTATTTGTCACATAAATGTAATAATCAACGAGGTCGTATATGTATGCAATGTAACATAGTAATTATTCTTATTGCTTTAATTATAGGTACATTTTCATTCATATTACTGCAATCAATATGACAATGTTATTCTTCCTGATCCTGTAAGAGTCTACAATGATACGAAGTTTGACGCTTACAGTCGATATCTCTATGTGCTTGTTGAATATAATGTAAGTTTATTATCTGTTTATTATCTACAAATATATAGTACAAAATATTTGATAATCTATTATTAACCAACCATGTTCACCTTACATGAACAATGATCACAAGTCACTCTTAAATTTACCATGTGTCACTTCTTTTTGCTTAAAATAGAGAAGTTAATTGAATAAGTAATTATCTCATTATCTCGAGTTTTTAAAACACGTCATAGAAACAAGCGGTATTTTGCTGCAGTGATTATAGTCATGCTATTTCATATTTGTTTCGAATTTCGCTTCTGGGACACTTAGTATCTTCTTCAATGCGAATCAGTGACGCACTTGGGTGATGGAAACTCAACTTGTAACTGTATGTTAATCAAATTAATGAGATAAAAATGTGATAATGATTCTTATTTATTAACTTAACTCTAGGTTTACAAGCTGGAGGTACAGAACTGTAAACAATATACGACATGTAGAGAGTGTTTTGAAGCTATGGATCCTTACTGTGGATGGTGCACATTGGAACGAAGGTCAACATGTCAATGTGTTGTTTATATTTCAGATGTTGCCGTGCCGTGTTGGCATATACATATGTTATACAATATTATCACTTGATTAAAACACGTTGAGAATTGCACACTGTTTGTATTCTGCTCGTTTATACTTTATAGAAATAACAAAATAATACAATTTCAATGTACGTATTTGTAGATGTTCTCTGTATAACGAATGTCCATTTTCGAACATAAGATCAAGATGGCTTAGCGTATTTTCTGATGAAAGGTGCGTTAATATAACTGAAATAGAACCAGCTGATAGTGTGCCGAAAAGTGTACATAATCAGGTAATGTTTACAGTATTTCTTGTCATAAGGATGACTCAATATGTTTTGCAATGAATTACTAAAAAGTGAAAACACAAATAGTATTATTGCAACTTAAAGCGTTCGTAATAAAATAATGTAAACACATATTTACGCTCACCATGACAATCCATATATCAATAATTAGTCCCTGTGAAATATCCCCCACTATACTTCTTGGGCTATGCACCACAATTTGAGTTTGTTCAGCGATTCAGTGTTTTTTTATTTTTTAAAGATTGTGCACTTGTGGTACATTTGTGTTGCCATATTATATGTTACCGTTTGAATATTCTTACTATAATCGTATAGATCACACTTCATGTGTCTGAACTACCTGATGAAAGAAACTATATCCCTGCATATGAGTGTAATTTTGGAAATACCTCTATCACACCTGCTAATCAATCTGGACAAACATTGACATGTGAAACGCCACTAACCAATCAGAGACCTGATATACCAGAAGGGCAAGGTGAAAATAGTTTTTTCCTCAGTATTATATTCACTTTACATTCGATACATTTGAATATTAGCCAATCGAGGTTATTAAGATTTTTAAAAACTATGTTTTCTATATCACGACATATATTACTGTGAGTGAGTGACACATTTAACAATCACAAAGTTTGTATTACAGATCATGTTACTACAGTGCTTTATTTGAGAAGCAAAGAAACAAATATCAAGTTTGTTGATACTAACATACATTATTTTAACTGTTCGTTCCACAAATCGTAAGTTCAATTGAAAATATCAACATATCATTGTATTTTCAATTGTTAAAGTTTTGTTTATTGTGAAAAATTAAAAATGATTATTATGAACACATATCCAATTATATGTTAAGAGAAACAGCTATACATAGAGTGCAACTGCAATTGTTATCTACAGATGTACAAACTGTGTGAGCAGTAACTGGGCTTGTGATTGGTGCGTGTATGAAAATATATGTACACATGCAAGTGATACATGTATGAAGGATTCATATTCAAGTATTGTTGTTGGTGAACATGTAAGTAATGTGTTGTTGGCATATTTTATGATGGATGTTAAGTGTACATTGAACTAGCAGTAATGTAACTATGCCTGTGTTTCAGAATAAATTCTCTAGTAGAGACATACGAGGGTGGAGCTCATGTCCCCATCTGGAACAGCAAGATGGTGAGGTGTTAATACATGTAGACGAAGCAACACCTATTGTTATCTCAGCAGCAAACGTACCTAAGGTAAATAACTATATTTATATATACGGCTTTTGTGTATTGAGCAATTGTATACATTGCTAGTCATGTATTTTGTCCTTCCATTACAAATTTGTAAATGTGTGTTTAAAAAAACACCTGGTTCTACTTATAACTGCATTTACAGATTCACCAAATCAACCAGTATAGTGTTTCGTGTTGCAATGAAATGGGTTGCATCACAGGGTCAATCAAATGAATTAATAAACAATAAAATAATGAAAACCACATTAAACAAAAATTCATTGGAGTTTCTGATAATTGTTGGTAAATAAAAGTGTGAATAATCCAAAGATAGTTTGATCATGTATATCATTTTTAGGGTAATCCTGGGTTTCAATGCGTTCTGAAAGGAATTGGTTTCGAGGATTATGTAGCAGCTACTAGATATAATGAATCTACTGTTCTATGTCATGCAAAACAAGTGAGTTAACGTGTGATTTTGAAATATGAACTTAGATGAAGTTATCTTTCATTTCACTGTGTATAACTATATATATAAATACAGAGTGGTGTGTATGTTTCAGTACAACTATGACACTAACGTTCAAGAGGTGAATGTCAGTTTAACTGTACAATGGAATAACAACTATAAGATTGATGACATATATGGATACACTGGTGAGTATGAACACAATACGTGCTGACATGTTACATATACAAAATACAACCAACGTACTACGTATACAGCATTAATT